CATGCGCATCTGTTATTAGGCAAGCTAGCGAAAAACCATATAGAAAAGAATATGTGACCACCATAGATCCAAGAGGAAAGAACCTAGAAACCTGATATTTTGCACCCATACTAAGTTGACCCTGAGGGTGTACACCTGGATGTTATTACTTATCCACATGCATATGCATCTTTTTTATGAGGCAAGCTAGCGAAAAACAACATAGAAAAGAATATGTGACCACCATAGCACCAAGAGGAAAGAAACTAGAAACCTGATATTTTGCACCCATACTAAGTTGACCCTGAGGGTGTACACCTGGATGTTATTACTTATCCACATGCATATGCATCTTTTTTATGAGGCAAGCTAGCGAAAAACAACATAGAAAAGAATATGTGACCACCATAGCTCCAAGAGGAAAGAAACTAGAAATCTGAAATTTTGCTCCATGTGGACCCTGAGGGTTTGCACCAGTGTATTATTCATTATCTTGTCCATGTACGTGCACAGGCCTGCCAACAGGGGGGTGGGCAACTGCCCAGTGGGCCGGGCAAATGAAACCTAGTTATGCTGTAAAGCCCGCAAAGCATCTTTAGGCTATATCTTCATTTAATGATAAAAACCATAGTTTTTGGCTTTTCTTTGCATGTAGACGCTTGATACATTAGGAATGACTGAAATAATAATTTGAGTAATAATTAATATGTATTTGTTACTTTATTAACGTTTTTACACTTATACTGTGAGGTAAAAACAGCTGCTGCTATGATTTGGTCTGGTTTATGAACTCGATGCTGTCCTAATTTAGGATCTTCTTCTTAATAAATTCTTGAAAATGTTAAAAAAGAGAGAGAGAAAGGGGGCCCGGTGAGGATGTTTGCCCAGGGGCTTGTGCTGGCTCTCGACGTTCCTGTACGTGCACATCTTTTTAATGAGGCAAGCTAGTGAAAAACCACATAGAAAAGAAGTGGTTCCTTATATTACAAATAGAAATCACAGACAGACATGGGAACAAAGCTAGTACTTAATGTGCTGCAGATGTAACAATGACGGTCTAGAAATATGATTAGTACAAAAGTTGATATTTACTCTTACAATATTAAGTATTCACTAATTCATTCAGCAAGCATGAATACTATGCCATTTAATTTGAATATGAATACTTTAATTTTCCCTACCAAAGTATTCAAATACAAGTACAAATACTCCCAAAGCTGTGTTCAAATGCATTCAAATATGAATATCGCATGTCTGCTATGTACATATCTGCTACAAAATAGTTATTTTATACTAATGCAGGTATCAAGGTGGATCTCTTATGTTAATGAAGCTATATAGCCTCGTAGGTTAATTTTTCTCATTCACTAGTGTGGAATAAATTGAAATGTCAAAGCTGGATAAACCTCAAATTTTCTTGTTAGAATGAATTATACCAAAGTTATATAGAAGATGTTAAACAACATGCTAATTTTTGTCATTCTGAATTTCTAAAACTTTTTCTTTTTAATATCAAGTTCATTTATCTCACATTTGTCATTTAAGCCTCTGAATATTGTTTTCAACGTATGACTTACAGCTTCTCTAATGAAGGCATGTAGCTTTTCTAAATGCTGATATCTAATATGATTTTGTATAGGTTTTTGAAGGTATCTCTTTTATGGTGAATTGTGACACAAACACATGTGAATAATTAAAATATATGACACAAACATTTCTTTGTTTTTGCTTGTTAGTTGCAGTTTTCTTTTTAATGCAGAACTACTTACTTTTATGCATAAGCTGATCTTCTATTCAAATTTTCTGCTTTTGTTTCGTCTTTCAAATATTAAGAATTGTGATGAAGTGTAATAAAAAATAACACCTATATGATTTATTAATTTTAAGCCGAATCATTTTTCTGTTGATATTTACTTTGAAGGATTACTTTAAAATCTAAGTGTCATTTTCTCTTTCCAAAAGCAAATATTTCTCATACCTTACATACTCTTCAAAAAGATTTTTTAAAGTCTCCTAGGAAATTTCTTTTATCTTCAAATTTGGAAATTAGAAGTTAATTTTGTCATTTCTTTTAAAGTATGAAAATTACAAAATAAAATATTTATAAGTTTTGTGTAATGTTATTTAAAAATACAAATATAAAAGCATTTTCAAATCAGTATCATATTCTCTTAATTTGTATTCTTTAATCAACAGTCAATTAAAAAAAACACAAATATAGCATTTATTGTGTATTCTTCAATTTTATTGACAATTCAGAAGATGCTGAACATAAATCTTTTCTGACATGTTAGAAGGCCTATCATAGTTGAGGCTTGTTTAGGTTAGTTATAAGTATTAAAATTGATATTACATAGTCGACACTGACATTTGAAGTCTACGAGTTTCCAAACTAAGCTGTCTCTTCTGACTGTTGGTGCTTGATGAGGTTAGGCTGGATATTGATATTAAAACCAAGCTCTACTCTTACAGAGCTTCGACAGATGACACTGATGATGAAGGTCATAAGCTTGTACATAAAACTATCACTATTGATTGTGGGTGCCTAGTGAGATCTATTGCTTTTGGGTCAGCCACATCAGAAAAGAAGCACTTAGCTTCTAAAGCCTTCTGGACACACTTCAGTGTTTCGAAGGATCTAGTCCTTGCCACTGGTCTTAACAATGGTCATATTCGCACGTGGGATATATTCACAGGTAAGCTTATGTTACAAAACATGAGCATTCAAGTCATTTATGTTAAACTTAATGTATGTATTTATTGATCAGCAAAAGTAAAGTAAGGTGTATGATAATGTGCAATCACACCATATCTATTGTATGCAGTGCCAATGAGGTCGTTCATCCAATACCAGGGCTCTTCAGGCTGGCTGGGGTACCACAGACATAGTGGTCGCATTGCTATTTTTTATTAGAAGATTATATAAACAACAGTTATGACTTAAACTGGATTAAGTTGAAGTGTAATTTTCATCAATTTTATTTATTTTAACACCATGTACAATAGAGCACCAATTATCTGGACTAATTAGGATCAAGAGTGGTCCAGATAATCGAAAATTGGAATAATTGGACTTTATTGAAAAATTGTATCTTGGACATAACAAAAAAGTTATATCTTGAATATATTTTATAGTATTTCTCTGCAATTTTTTTACCAGATTCATCTTTTTTTTTAACTTGTTCATAATGTTCACTTTGTCACTTAATGAAAGAATCACTCTTTTGCATTTGGTAGACATTTTCCCTCCAACAAAGATTAACTTTGATTTAAAAAAATAAACATACATTTTTAAGAAAACCCAAATCATATCTGTATTCAATGAGGCTAATGTCACAGCTGACGGTTCTGCATAGAGATCTACCATTTGCTACAGAGTACATATGTTTGATTTTCAAAATTTGATCTGGATGATTGATGTTCTACTGTATTATCAATTATCATTTTATTAACTTCACCTCTCATTATATATTCAGAAGAACTAGCAAGCTAACAGGCTAGTTTAGTAAGTCATTTGTAGGATAGTTTATATTGCTTTTGTGTTTTCTGATTGTTTTTTTAATAATTTACACTGTATTTCCCTAATGTATGAATAATGAAATTACTGGGATAATGTTAATGAACAGTGTATTCCTCCTTATGTTGAAACTTGATGGTGCTGCCACATACAAGAATAAGAATCATGTAAAGTAATGAAAAACGTTTTCCTTGTTACGTTAAGCTCTGGAAAGCTATAAATAAGATATTTTAATGTAAATTCTAAAACTTTTAATAATTAGCAGTTTTTAGCTCATTATATAATTTTCAAAATATACTAGTATTTCAAGCTGAAGTTCCAACAACAGCAGTCTAGGTTATAACAGTTTCAAGTATATTATGGTTACAGTTGAGCATACATCAGTATTGATCAGAGCTAGGCAGCCTGTTTTAAGATTCATTCTGGGCACTTGTATGTATTTTGAGTAAAGTTAAGTGTACATATACGTCAATGCTCATTGTACAATTTTAAATGCAATACCTTAAATCAAATGTGGTTCAGATTAGTTTTTATTATTATTATTATTTTGCTATTGTAAGTAAAGTACAGACTGAAAGTTATTGTTTCAAGCATTTTGTAATTAATGACTAAAGTATTGTATGTACACAAATCTAACTGATGAAAGAAAGTCTTAAGCATTTTGGATACTTTACCGAGTCTGTAGTAAAGTTAACATCATAGGTGTAGCGAGCATTAAAGAATGGTGGAGTGGGTTCTTTTTCCTACATAAAGAAATTATTCAAGTAGTTTACCTTGATCAAAATAAAAGAACTTCCAGAACAAAAGTTCCTAAAATTTACCTAAAAGTTCTAAAACAAAGACCCACTTACCTCACTGTAATAAGCTTCTGAGCTGTAAATATCTTGGATGAGCCTCTTCAAGTAAAAAATTAAATACAACTTTATTAAGATCAATGTTTATCCCATAAATTATACATACATATATACATACATGGATATAAATGAGAAACAAAGAACTTTTTTTTAAATTTACCTTTTAAATTTCTTGTGGTGATAGTTTGACTCCAACTCTTTATTTATTCCTTTGAACATTTATTATTATTCTGTTCAATATATTTAGGACATTTAATCCTAGAGCTTATGGACCACAGGAGTGTGGTAACAGATATTGCATTTGCTCCAAATGGTAGTCTACTTTTGGCATCATCATCTCAGGATGCAACAATCAAGTTCTGGGATCTCAGTGATGATGGAAACATGTTCAAAACTCTCAGGATGAATGGGAAGGCTGTGTATTGTTGTGCTTGGTCTCCTGATGCCCATATGTTGGCAACTGTAGGAATGTGTACATCTGTAAGTTGCTCTCTGTATTATTTTGACTGCATGGTGTTTAAATGCAAGAATGCTGACTACTGTAAGAATGGGTAATTTTTTAACTAGAAGGATAAAATAGCCTTTATATGCTCAAATATAAGAGTGTGTATGTCTGTAAATTAGCAATTGGTGAACTTATTAATCAAATGGTAATATTAGCACATTACTGTTTGGTCTTCAAATCTTTCCATGAATTGTGTCTACACTTAAGACTTTTATACATTTATAATTAACTTCGGAGTATTGAGTAAGCGTCTGTGTCAGTTGTAGCCCTATTTGTGAAATTTTTCATTCAACTATAACTGTTCATAGTTACAGGTTTTCTTTTAATCATCTCCCTACATGTAAATTTTTTTATGTGATCTTCAGTGTATCATAAATACTTTTCTGTCAGTCTTTATTCTTTATGTAAATCTTTCATACAGATGCATGTGTATCTGGGTTTTGTATTTCTCAATCTTATTATTATGATAGTAATATTATCACTTCTTTCCAGGTATATGTGTGGGATACTAGTTCCTTCAGTCTGAAACTTCGACTCAGTGGCCATAAATATGATGTTGTTTCCTGTGAATATTCTCCTGATGGCTGTCTCATAGTAACAGTATCATGGGATACACAAGCTATACTTTGGGATGCTTACACTGGAATGAAGCTTAAGTGCTTTGGGTAAGTCACCAGTAAATTAAGTTTGATGTAAATGTCTATACACTATTTTTTGTTTTTAAAAATTAAATGATAAGTAACAGATAATTTATACTGTTAATCAGTTCTTCATTATATTGTCTGCTTTCATAATCTTGCTATAAAGTACATCTATTTCTAATGCAGTTTTGGCACATTAGATTGTCATGTTTTTGGAACATCTGTTACAAGATTTAATGTTGACTATAGCTAGAGATTTTCTTTGGGTCTGTAGAGAGGTTTTAACATCATCCAACTCAAAACTCCGGGCTGTTTTAATCCTAATTGATTTGTAGGCTCTTATGTGGATAATTATTTCATTCTAAACTGTTGTTGTTGCTAGGTCAAAAGTTTATACCATTTTTGTTTAGTTTTTATGTGAAAGTGTCTTTATTATATATTCAAAACCTAAGTTAAGTATTAACATGAATCAGGGTTATACTGATGACAAAAATGAAGTGTATAGATATGTGAAATTACAAGGATTTGGTGAAGTAAGATCACTATTGAATCTTGTAATGCAGGATTAAACTTGCATTTTCCTGACCATTTTATTCAGCAGAAAGTGCAATATTTCAGGTTTTGCAAGGTACGAGAATCGCAATGGCCAACACAAAGTATAAACAAGCCCATCTCTGATAATTAAATTTAAGTTTGTTTACTTAATTACTTTTGAAAATTAAGCCAATTACTTCATTTGAAGTTTTTATTAAAAGAGAAATTTTCAGGCCTTTGTCCAACCCAGAACTTAAAAACATTTGCTTTTTTAGGTTACCAGAGCTCATTTTTAATGACATTGATTGATTTCAAGGACTTGTACAAACCCTGAAGTAGGTATAAGTAGATAATCTATAAGCATACATATTTTCTAAGATGTAGTATACTGCTTTTTAGCACAGTGAAATATATATTTAAAGAGTGAGAATAAAGTAAAACATGGTGTTGAACAAATAATCTTGTCAAACTATTGAATGCCATATTACCTTTAAGGGCATCTTACAATCTGTAGTGATATTAATCCTAAAGTTATTTCAAACTAAAATGAAGTGTCACACAAATATTGAACAAGATAAGTTACATTAACAGAGGGAAATTAAGAAGCTACTTACTGAATTAGTGGTAATTTTCTACACCTTTCTGAACCTTCATTTTTTATCTTTGATGCATTAGAAGCTTTACACACTCCACTGTTTTAAGAAAAGATTTGCTACTGGCTTACAGAACAAATATGTGCTAAACATATGTGAAAAAATTCATTAGCATTGTGTGGTTTGCCACTTTGTTTCCTTGTTTTGTAGTGGCTTGAACTATTCTTTAACTTTGCATTTAAAAATGTTAGTCAGAAGTTAAATATTTCTGTATACGTCTATACATTGAAAGTATTCCATTCTATAACTGTTCATAGTTACAGGTTTTCTTTATTTTTAATATTTCAACTTGGATGTTTGTTTGCTAGAGAGAGCATATCATTACATCCTGATGATGCAAGATCTATTAATTTCATGAAAATTAAGGCCTCAGTAGAATCTGGAAGCATCTTGTATTACATAGAAAATTTGATTGTGTATAAATATCATCACTTCATTCAGTCTATAAAAATTGTTTAAATGTAAGACTAAAGAATAGCCCAAGATGTTACAAAAAAAGGAAATTATGTCTACAAATAAATATGCTATGCTTATGAACTTACCATACTGGCCCAATTATAGGGTGATCTTGTATATAAGGTGACCCACATTTTCAGAAACCATGGGAAAGAAAAAAAAAATTGTCATAGCAACCTTTGATTAGGTCTGCGAAATGCCTTTCTTGTAGAATGTGCATTAAGAAGTTCAGTCTTTTGTTTCCACCAACAAATCAGTATTTTCAGTTACACCAAATTTTCTAGTAATAGTACAATTGTTTGTTTTTCTGCCTCATGCACCACCATAATTTTAAGATCTTCATCATAACTCCATCGTAATCCTTTGTTAATTTGACACTTTTTTGTTCCCTGTCTTTTGTCTTTCAATGTGGTCACTCATTCTTGCACAAGGATCAATCACTAAAATGAGACTAACAGGCAACAATTATTATAAACAATTATATTATCAATACTGTAGCTGAACAGCCTATAGGTGGATTAGTTGCAAGAATTAACGATGACCTTGAGCAAACATCTGGAGCACATGCGTAGACAGATTCTATCTGGACATTCAGGAATGCAACAGGATAGAGTAGGGTGAAAGGGCATGTGGTCAGCTGTGATTAAAAGGAGAATATGAATTTTGCAGCCTAATATTAATCAAAAACATTGCCTTATAATTAGGCCAATAAGGTACTATATTTTTATTCCAGGAAAGTGATCATAATTCGTTCTGTGATTTTAGTTATCTGGTACATTCAGTTTGTTTGTTTGTAGCTTTTTTTTTAATGGCTTCCATGTTAAGTACAAACATTGAATTACTATTACAGCTTGGGACACAATTAGCACCCTAGTTGAGCTTTTTCATTTTGTAAAGAGAAAATCACTTGGAATGATTACTAGGGTTACCACATTTTCAGTGTGAAAAACTGGGGCTTTTTTCCCCCCATACAGTGACACTGTAGCAGTTCTGAAACAGTTTCACTTACGATAACACACTTTTTACCACTTGCTAAATAATGTGATGTTTGTTGCATCACATCTTAGAACCATAGAGAAACAAAACTTGTTAAGAGCTAGTTAAAGAAATAATGAATAAAAAAAACATGTTTAAGTTACATTGAACCTACTCAAAAGAAAAATGTTGCTTTTTCATTTCTTTTTTTATGGCTGGGCAAGTTTTCAAATCTCAATTCCTGCAGCTGGTCAATGACGGGTAAGGTTAAGAAAACATAAAAGATAAAGAGTGACCACTGTACTATACGATGTCTTTGTCTGGTGATTCTCCAAGTAAAACATAAAGAAGCCGTGTATGATGTCAAACCGCACATATCAATCTTACACTAAGGTACATAGAAACTGTGACAATTTAGTACTTTTACTGTTTGTGATTAGGAAAAAAAAATGCTAAAAAACTGGGATGATTCTAGTGTTATTGGGATGTTTGTTAACCCTGGTGATTACATATCCTTGCTGTACAAGAAATCTCCTGTCTTCTTGGAAGGAAGTCCAGGTTGTATTACATGAAGTGGGGTTACACAGGCTCAGCCAATATGATTAGTTACCACTTAGAAAAAAAAGCATATAGAGGAGACTTAACTTTACAAACTAGTCTAAAGCTATTTGCTTATAGTTTACTTATGTAAGAATATGTTCAATATTGTTGTTCTATGTTAAGTTGGTTGAGTTGTAAAAGAAATTAAGCATATATTTCATAAAAATTACATCCAGAATAAGAACTTTGTTAAACTAAATCTATATTTTATTCTGAAAGCAGAATTTATTTTAAGGCTTAAAATATTCTTAAAATATATTTGTAAACTTGTTATAAAAGTATAGCTGGAATATAGATTTGGATTCCCACTTATGCCATAAATAAGAAAGTCTTCAGTTATTTATCTAATATAATTTTTCCCTCCCCATAGTCATCTATTTCCACCTCCGAGACTTATCTATGCATCAGGAGCTAATGGAACGTGGGTACGGGGAGTATCCTTCTCTCCTGATGGAGCTCATATATCAACAGTTGCAGATGATGGGTGAGAAGCTGTTGCCATAGTTACCAGAGTAAACACAAAAACCGTTTTGATAGCTATTTGAATTTCTACACTTGTAAACTTTATTTTATTTACAATAGACACTTGGTTACACAGGTTTATGTTTTCAATATTGTTTTGTTTTATATTTAAACATACGATAAAAATACGTTACTGTAGTTCTGAGAAGCTTGTAAATTGTAAAACATAGAGAGATCTACTACTAAGTTAACATTTTTATTGGATTTGTTTCTCAGTTACATGCGAATCTGGGACATTTTATATGAAGATGATCCTGTAGCTGTAGGGTCTGTGGAGGAAGGTCTTTGCTGTACTTATTCTCCGTCCGGTCGGGTCTTGGCTGTAGGGTAGGTAAAAATTAGTAATCTGTTTATTGGAATTTAGTTATTGATTTCTTTTCTTCAATAAAATGTAAATTTCAGCAAAGAAAAGATGACATAGAGGCCTAATCTATTCTTTGATTCACTACTCCTGTTGCAGTAGACTAGTTTCCTTGAATTCATAGATCATCAGTATTGCTTGGAAGAGCAAATCAAGTAAATAAAGTAGGCCTCATACAGTAGTGAAATCAAAACCATAACATTGTTTATTGGAATGTTATGCTATATTTTCTCACACCATAATGAAGTTCTGAGGTAACACTTCTGATGCTTTTCTTTCCATTTTTTGTTTAAGATCTTTTAAGAAACACTTGCAAGCTGAGTTTTCTATAGGCTCCATGCTGAGTACACAGTCAGACCTGTATTTTGTGAAAAGAGGAGAGACTGTAATGCAGTAGCACAGCCCTCGCAGAGAGCTCTTCTTGTACTTTACTCTGCACAATTTTGATTGGTCATTGGGAAGGTTGTTGAATCCTGTTTTGTTAAGATTTTATTTCTTCCAAATTCTCCTGAATTTATAGCTTATATTAGATACAAAATATAAGGAGATGGTGGTTAAAAGTTCTTCCAAGAGTATCGGTGAAAAGGCCTTAGGTTTTAGTTCATTAAAACTCACTCCTAAGAAACAAAAACATTTAGTTTACACTGTAGCATCCCATGCAGCTGTGGTGAAATCTACACTTAAGAAACAGGAAGAACTATCAATCAGAGACTAAAAAAACATGCAAATACAGCTAGGCTCCAACACCCAGAAAAGTCCACCATAGCTCAATACTGTTACAACACAAGACATTTCAGTGGGACAAGTTCATGATTTTACATATGCAATGATGGAATTTTGAAAAAGAAACTCTCAGAATAAGGATTAATAAACCAAGAACAGAACTCAATGGCTAATCACAGTTCTCAACATTTAAATAGCTCTTTGCAAAGGCAATGCAATGTCTATCTCTAATCAAAAACACCTAAGATGTGAAAAAAAAAGGTGTGGCAAAAAAAAGGATTGAGTGTGTGACTTAAAAGAATGAAATCAAAATTGGCGGCCAAACTGGTAGTTACACTTATAGCATTGATAAGAATTTTACAGCAAATATTCATTCATTAGTTAGTTGCTCTTTCTTCCTTCATTATCCCCCAATGGTGTAGCAACAAGCTGTGTCACAGATTCTACCTGTGAAATATATATTAAAAAAAAAACAATCACTTGATAGATCAGTACCATATCATTAGTATTGATAGAAATTTATACAAATGTTGTTTATTGTGAAAACCAGATTCTCGTGAAAACCCAATTATTCATGTAATAGTAGGCCTATACATAAACATAAAGTAAGGCTTAACTGAAACACTACTTAGTAAATTTCATTTTGCTTTTGACTACAACTCGATGTTGTAAGTCTTCTGAATTAAACTATTTTGCTGTTATGTCACAAAAATTATCTAAAAAACAAACCTTTCTAATAAACCAACATGAATATTGAGCATTCAACATAAACACCATCACTACCTAAAAAAAAGGCATATTCCCTCTGACATTGTTAAGAATGCTTTCATGCTCCTTTTTTAATTAATAATTTTAAACTTTCTACAAACTCTGTATGGATGTTAGGAAGCATATCTTGTCAGTACATACCTTTGGATGGTGAAGCATTTTAGAAATTTAAAATTGCTGATTCAAGAATGCTGGAGAGTTGAGATCTTCTCATTCAAACTTGGTGTAATTAAGCTATTTGTGTCACTCCTCAAGTTTCACACTTATCCAAATTACAATAGATATATCAAATTACATGGACTACATGGATAAAATGTCATGTTATTACGTAGTTACTATGTAGTGGTACAATGTTCTGAACTTGTGTTATTACTATGTATATGCTACATATTTTCAGACATTATCAAACCACTATTATGTCACTATGTAGTAAATACGCAGTGTGTATTCTGGGCTAAGGATCGCAATTATATTAATCGGAATATATGGTGGTAGTTTTTCCTCCCTATAACAGTATTAATAACTTCCTTTATAGTAATGCCATGGAATCTAGATTAATAGCTTCTTGTCATCATCCGCATGTACTCTGTACAGCTGTATCAAGCATCATTATTTACTCTAATTGCATAAACTAATATCACATGATGCTAAACACTCTTTAATTAGGACAATTTCATATAAATGAGCAAATTTGTGCTTAAAAGTTAACAATGAATAATGATTAATAAACGTCCTCATGTATGATTCTTTTGAAAACTTGAGCTAGAAAGTGATAAACTAGTTTGCTTGGCCTAACCAATACCTATGTATCTGCACGTCCTTTCACCATATAGTTTTGTGGCTCTAAGTCAGTTGTTTTTAACTGGAAGGACAAAAAACAGTCCACTTTTACTCTTTGGTAAAGCTGTAGTAAAAATTTCAGCACAATAGCTCACATGACTTTTTGCAAAAAATTTTAGTCAAATTTGAGTGCTTTTTGTTAAATAATTATACATGTGGCTTATATTTAGACCAAATTTGACAACTAACTGTAAGCTATAAAGATTTATCTGAGTACCAAGTTTGAGAAAAAATCCATAAAAGTTAAGTAAAATTGAAGATTTTATATCTCGTATATTTCTTAATGGATTGCCTTGAAATTGGTATGTGAAGTAAGGTTCCAGTAGAGCATATCCACTGAAAATGTGCGATAGTTGAGATTACCACAGTCCGAGCTACAGAAAGTATAAAATTGCTAAACTATCACTCTTGTTAACAAAACACAGTGTGTCCTGCAGGTTGTTTTGGCCACACGACACACAACCATGAGTCTTGATAATTTGTCCTTTTTTCACAAAATATAGGCCTAACTAAGGACTCATCATAGAGCCCAAAAAACCTCAAAAAGAGAAAAAACAGTGATCAAGGTCCATTGAAAATCAGTCCACATGTTGAACATTGCCTGAATCCATTTTAAAAGAAGAAACACTTACATTTTGCCCTAAATACTTGTTAAACTGAATGGATTAAGAGTCTGTGTTACTAAACCCATCAGTTAAAATAATTCAAAATGAGCAAGTTCTTTCAAAGTTAGAGTACTAGGTATATTTGTTTAACCTAGAATTATCATTGAAGTTCATATGGATTTTGTTGCTTTTTGAAACAATATTTTAAATTATTTGTACATCAATTTCCTTGTTGGTCCATAACTGTTGATTACAGGGACCCTAATAACATACAAGTTACAATAGAATGTAAACAAAAATACCATTAATACTAATTAATTACTTCTTGTGTTTCCTATGTATTTTGAATAGAAAATGAAGAATTTCATCCAAATTTCTTGGTCATATTTTTATCACAGAATGTTGTAACAGTTTAAAAAAGGAATTACTGAATATGATGCAATATGTGGACACTATCAGCATGAACAATATGAAAACAAGTCTGTAACTTGAGGGTTTAGTGATACATTTCATGCCACAGTTAGATTAAATGATTTTACTGTTCTGATATTTTGGAGAGATTGACAAGATATAATGAAAGTTTTATCTTTAGTTTTTGTCCAAGAAAACTGGTGAACTGTTCAATCAACATTGCATAAACATGAAAAACTAGTTGGTTATTGTTTCATTTCAGGCTAAGAACAATAGCTGTTCAGGATCAGAGTTAGGATAAAACAGATGCAGTGGTCATCTGTAGTTACAGATATCAGTCTTGTTACTCTGGTAATATGAAATGCCAATTATAACAGTGTTTAAATGAACAAAACTCTGTTTTCAATAAATTTAGCATATAAGTCAAAGTGCACACATTCTGTAATAGTCCACTTCATCTAACGATATTTGATTTATCACTTCAGCTCGTAGTGAACTGGAGCTAAGGATAAAGAAAGCTGTTCAACTCTCATCAAGGATTTAAGAGTTTCACTCAATAAAATGTAAAATATAAAAAATGGCTTCTCAAACTATGTATAAGCCTTTGGCAAAGAACAAAATATAAGACTTTATTATATCTTGTAAAACTTAATCACTGTTGTATTTTTGGAGGGACTGCAGTTAGTTGCATTAGGTTGTTGGCCATAACATATTATGAATACTTATCAGCAATGCTAACATAATTCTCCATTTTGCTTAAGCTGCTGTTAATTATGCGAATAGTGTTCAGTTGGTCTTAGGTAATTTTTATCGTTTAAAAAAATCAACCTTGTTTTATATAATCACAGCAAAAAAATACATGATACATATATGTTTGACATTGGCTATTTCATATATGTGGATCATACGGTATTCATGTTCAGCTTATAATATACATATGTGATACTTATATGGATAATGTATTCATTATGTTCACCAGTAACATCAAGTATGATTTTTGCACTACTCTGCCATGTGGCAGTGTAATAATATTTTAGTGTTTACACATACTGTTTACATTTTAAAATGCATGCCATTAATCTTATACATTATTTTGTAGATTTTAGCTAATTTAGTTGAGGTTAGACCTTGCCTTTGATATTACCTGAAATTTTAACTACTCGGACATCATCTAGTTAACATCCAGATTTCCGGGATGTCTTTTCATCGTTCTATTTTAAGATATATGTTTACTCATCTTTATTCTCATGATAAAAAGTTATCTGGATTGCCATCACTTATCCAAATACTTTCCAAAATACTGTATTTTCCTTTGTTGTTACCACTTGCCTACACTCATCACAGCAAAGGACAAGAACAAGTTTTGCTGCTTGAATTTTGGAGTTAGTACAAGAACAAGTTTTGCTGCTTGAATTTTGGAGTTAGTACAAGAACAAGTTTTGCTGCTTGAATTTTGGAGTTAGTACAGTTTGTAATATAGTTTCTCAAAATTCCATAAAGTTAGAAACTTTGATTTAACATACAATGTACTAAATGCTTTTCTATCAAATTTCATAATCTCATAACTGACACATTTACTCACTATTACTGTCTCAGCCTAAAACATGCTCTGTGAAGTAATGGTAGGTTTACCTAATACAAATGTGCACTCAATAAGTAAAACAATTAAATTTTTGGTTTTGTATTAAATCTTAAAATTAATAACCTCAAACTACTTAAAGCACTGTTCTTGTTTAATATTTACACGTCAAAGAATAAATGCTTTCAGTGTAAAATTACCCTGATATGAATATTTATTATAAGCTTTTTTTTTTGTTTAACCCTTCAACTGCGGTTGACATCATATGATGCTAGTGAAGGCAACTGCGGTTGACATCATATGATGCTAGTGAAGGCAACTGCGGTTGACATCGTATGATACAAGCATTTTGAGCACCACATTTTGAATGATGCACCTTAAAAATTCGTGAATCTTTGTGCATGGTATGGTAGGTAGATTTACACAAGCTGCAAATGAAGGGTTAAATTGAAACTAGTCTACAAATTATAAAAATAAACATTTAGAATATTTTTATATATCTATTAATAGACTTAAAATGCACTTCTTATGATATTTATCCTAAAATATAAACAATTTCTACAGTTTGTAGAATGGACATGTATGTTTGTTTTTGCATGAATTGAACGTAGCATATTCAAGTAATAAAATACACTTTTTTTTTTTTGTACAATCATATATGTCTTGACTTGCATATCAAGTGGAACTTATACATATGTATACATGTTTTTTTATACGGACATATATATTCATTCCATGTGGGTTTCCTGTCCTTCTATCATCCTTTCCTTTGCAGTGAAGACCTCAAGGTGGAGAAGTCATCACATATATGATGGTGAAAGTGTTCTATGCCTAATGTTGCTTCACCCTCTCAACTGGTGAAAGTGCCCTCAGCCTCTTTGTGCTGAAGTCGGTGGGCAGCGAGGTTTGTCTCTCGGCATGCACTGGGAACAAACTAATGCTTTTTGTTTTCTGTGATCAATTCCTCATCTAGCTTTTTTTTTCTTATCTCTGATATGGCAATTAATATAGTAGAAATAGTAGTGATATTAAATTTACGTAAATTATTCCCACATACTAGAATAGGCAATGTTTGTTTATATTCTACTTTGATTAAATTAACAAAAAATGCTTAACAGTAGGTTTGCTAACACCTCCTGAAGAATAGAGATGTGCTGATTAGTGAGCTTACTAGCCATCAAACATATGTCTAAGTGTTCAATCAGTTATTAAAATATTTAATAATGTACGAAATTTGGATCCTTTCTTGACTGAAATTGAAAAAGAATAATACAGACCAAAATTATTTTTATGCTTCCCACTTATTATTATTTCATGTCGGTCTTCTACAAGTCATAGGAATAACTTCCCACACTTTCTGAAAGTAACCGCTAGTGTTGTTTTTACCTTTGAAACTAGATTAGTATTTTTGTTTTCCAATTTCTTGTAGCCAAATTCATGAAACAGCAACTGATGTACATTATGAAGGAATCAGTTGCAGTTAAAAACACTAAGGTGGGCAGCACCCCAGGCTACACTGGCCAATCACATCATAGTCCTTTTAAAACATTCTAGAATTTCTTGCATCTTTCTGACATACAATTAAAGTACATTTTGTCTAAGACAATGAGCAGTCAGGATACCATGCATATCCATATACTTTTATTTCTGTAACTAATTGTTTTGTAACTGAGTGTTATATGTCTGAGCTTGAAAATGGTTGGAAACTGTAATTGTGAAGGAAAAGCATATCACTCCAAAGACATTTCCATTAAGGAAATTATGTCTTGTGACACTACTAAAGAGACTGAATGTAATTGTTGTTTACCTTCTTAAATAGTGCATGAGTATTTCTTGTCAAAATACCATCCTGTTAGGCCTAGGGTGCTGGGTGGAGTTTACAATTCCAAACTAAGTGAGTTATTATCTAGTCATCTCAAAGACCACTGTTAAAGGCTTCAAACTAGAGTGTAGGAACATACAAATCTGCTGAGTGACAATGTGTATAAAAAAAAGCATGTGATGCTTATGTGCAATGTAAAAGTAAGGATTGATCAGTTTAGGATTACGACAAGAAGTGAATATGAAAGAAGTTTGCAGAAGTCTGTGCATCAAAGGAAATTTGTTAATTAAATGGCTATAACCCCAAATTAATAAAGTAGAATCATCCCCAACATTGTTATAGAGCCTGTCGGCTGTTGCTCACAAATGCTATAAAAACTTCATTTTTTTAAATCTTCAACAAAATCATGTCTTGTCATGTCGGGAATTGAACCCAGATCTCCTAACCACCAGACCACGTGGTTTTACTAAATTGCCATGTCTAGAAACATAAATGAGCTTTAGTGAACAGGTGTGTAGTTCATTTGGTAGTTTCTGGATGTAAAACCTTGGAATGTGTTTGTCTAAAATTTTAAACATTAATTATAATTGAAATTATTTACATGAAAAATATGATTGCCTGGAATAATCACAGATTAGTTTCAAGGGCCACAAAAATGAAAAGATCTATTCAAAATGTAGAATAAATAATGTTAATCAGAATTAGTTTAAATGTAAAACCCAATTTTGATGAACTAGTTATACAGTAACTGTACTGAGCTTAATGAAAGGTACAAACTGCAGCTTTACTGGAAAATTGTTTTTCTTGAAATCTAATATATTATGACTTACTACAAATCAAAATGAAAACTCCACAAGTTTTGGTTTCTTTACAGTTTGAATTTGATAGTATATCTAGTGTTGATATTAGTGATTATAGATGTTTCAAAACAAGAAAGGATAAAAAGATAAGATGATGGGTTAGAGAGTATATACCTATAGTTAGAAACTTGTAGAAATGCTTAAGCTCCATAATGTTGAAATGAACTGCTGTAGTGTAAACATGAATGAAAGTTACAACAGTATTAAGTTTATCCAAGAAGTTTTCCTCCTCTTTTTTTTTTCTCTCCAGGACTCGAGAAGGAAATGTCAGCTTTTGGCAAGCAGCAATGTCAGTCAAGCCACTGCTTTATCTCTGTAGACTGGTAATCCGGCGACAAACTCCTCCGGAGAAAGTTGAGAAACTATTCATTCCAAAGCGGCTCACAAATTACCTGTTGTACAAAGAATTAGTATGACTGCAGCTCAGAGTACCTTCTTTTTTCTTGTTTTACTCCTCCTTCCCCTGGTGGGTAGAGTGGAGTTATAGAAATTATTACAGAATTGTCTATGTGTACACCAAAGCAAGTGTCCTTTAAAGAAGAGGCATCAACTGCACACACCCAAAGGTTAAAAAATATTTTATGGAAAGTTAAATAAGGACACTAGAGACAGTTCAGTGAGTTCAATGTACAGAAAGTTTCTTGTTGTAATTGATTAAAAAATATTTGATACTTGTACAGTTTTGTTGATGAATTCTCTTTCTGTTTTATTTTAGAAAGATGATATTCTAATGTCACTCCAGATTTTTGAAGTACATCAAAAGATCTGACTCATGAGGTGACTTCAGAAAGAAAATGGACATTGGTGTCTTGAGTTATGTGCCAAGAATTTAAGTTTACAAGTTTGTTTTAAAAAAAGTGGCAAGAATATTATTACCATATCAATAACTAAAGATTTATTATTTACTTAAATGATTTATTGATTTTAAAGTACTACTTTCTGTTATAAAATCTTACCACTGATGGAAGTTTTGCATTGAAGGATTAAAAGAAATAAAATCTCTTTTGGACAGTTTTTTGCATCTTTTTTGTCGAAAACTAAACATAAAAACGTGATATTATTTCAACATTTTTTGTGTGAATAATCCAGGTTCACATCATAGTTTTAACTATTCCTCTCTACCATTAGTTCACACTTTTATAAGTTTAGTTTAATATGGAGTAGGCTGAAACAGAATATGAATGCCTTTGGTGAGTACATGATAGTTACTTCAAAAGTAAGGATCTTGATCATGTCACAACATTTTATGCATACTTTACATATGACCACACAATCAGTAATTGATTACATAATCAAAGTTTGAATTTATAGATTTACTAAGGTGGAATATATGACTGTTGCTCGGCAAGTGGTGTCTGCTGGTCTGACAGAGTGACTAATGGCTTATCAAAAGACTTGAGCTTAAAAGTGTGTTTGTTTTTTCATAACAATAAAATACAAGTTTTGTTTTTACTTTAAGTAAAGGGTACATCTTTTAGATTTTCCCAAATAATCAGTTTTAAAGAATTTTACTTTGTACTTTTTGAGGTATTAGTTTTGTAAGTTGTAGATTCAATCAATTATGTGTGTAGGGGACAAAATGGCGCATATGAGAAAAGTAGGGTTAAGTGTCGTCTACAGCGAATAAAAAGAACTTAAAGCCCAGGTAAGTACTTTATTTTTTGTTGTTCGTGTGTATTCTTTATTTATTATTATAAAAGTAACTAAAATGTAAAATTAGGAAACTCTTTAGGTTATTAAAAATTAGATTAGATATAATACATAATAATAATATAAGTTTTCATGAGATACGCACGCGAGCAGCTTAGAGTAGCTCGTGGGTAATGTAAATTGTAATTTGATAGCAGAACCAGAGCAGCACGTTCCCAAGTGATTTACAACTTATATTATAATGGCGCGAATATTACTAGTAGTTAGACATCCTTCAAAGGACAATAAAATTTAAGTATAAATAGATATATACTGTTATGACTTAGGATAAACAAATGTAGTATAAGGTTACAATTTGAAGTCATTCTAGAGAGAAAGAAAGGATAATTTAGATTTAATTCTGGTTTTTGTTGTTGATTTTTGGTGGTTAAGGGGTTGTTTAACTTGACCAACCTTGTATAGAATTAGTGTATAAAATAATAAACATAGAATATAAATTTTTACCGAAAAAGACGTTTGAAATGTATTTAGGAGGTTTTAAAGATTACACAAATAACATTTGAGATGAAGAAAAGTATTTTGAATCTTAACATGAAAATCATTTTACACTCCGATTGGTCAAAAAGACATTTGATACATTCACAGACAAATCTTTAGTAGAAATACTTCATTAAAAAGTGATTTTATGTACAAACGGCTTGTAATGTTTACTAAATGTCTGCCAAATTGTATGAAGATACACAATAACACATACTGTATTAAAAGTTATAATATTTAAACTGTATACAAGTAAAAATAGGCGCGTGGTCAGTCATCTTGTCTAGATGGCTAGGCTGAGGGCGCATTCCACAAATCATGAACACTGCCTCCCAGTGGCACAGCGGTATGTCTGCGGACTTACAGCGCTAGAATCCGGGTTTCGATACCCGTGGTGGGCAGAGCACAGATAGCCCATTGTGTAGCTTTGTGCGTAACTTCAAACAAACAAGCATCATGAACAGACTACAACCTAGTGTGAAAATACTGTATGTGCCTTTGGCGGGAATTTCCGAGAAGTGAACACCAACTTTGGCTTTGGTATACCAAACTGAAACATTACAGCACTTTCACTGTGTTGGAGGTCTCGAAGACAACATAAAAGAGAAAGGCATGATTCGCACGATATGCTAAGCAAAGAAGAAAGTGATTCGTAACTAGGGCTGTTTTGATTTGCAAATAGCAAGTGAACCCGGATATTTTGTCCCCTGTATGTGTGTAGAATATTAAGACTTGATAATAAACATTTACCTGACAGGTTTGAGATGTTTATTGCTTGTGAGATTAAATAACACTTAAATAAATAAATACTGAATACGAAATTATGCTTTTCTTCAGCATTTTACGGACGACGTCATCACAAAGATTTATTACAGATGTATAGCAGAGATGGCTGGTATGGGTATTAAAAACTTTAATTAAAATAAAGTACAAGAACAACGTTTCGACCTTCTTAGGTTAACAAAGATAGCCGTCTCTGCTATACATTTTTACTTCAAGTGGATTTCTCGTCATTATTAATCTATTACATATATTTTATCCTGATTATTTATGGTAATCAAAACTACTACAAAATACAAGTAGATGGCGCTACAATATGTAAATCTTTCACCAATTAAAGAACAGCATTCTTTATCAATACAGCGTGTACGCGGGTCTTGTTGAACGCACCAGGTTTATCCAAATCAACCCTCACGTCGCAGAAGTTTCGTTGTTACACCAAGTAGTTAGAACTACGTGTTCATATGCATTTAATTTTTAAATGCCTCTTTGACATGCTTCACGTTTTGGAACTTAAATATCGCTAGTAATTCTTGAGTATTTGACGTCATTGTTTTATATGTGCCAAAATAATGTTTTGGACTTAATAGTGTTACGACAGTGGAAGTCACGTGACACTAGTAACACGTCACGAACTTCTAGAAAAATCATATCCCTTCCTGAAGCCTCGAGTGTTTACTAGATGTA